GTTGAATTGGATTTCAGTTCTTCTTTTCCCATGTATATTTATTTATAGATTGAGTAGAAGACTGCTGCTTCTCTCTTTCTCTCTTTTTGGTCTTGTGCAAGTGAAACCATAAAAAAGGAAAGTCTGAATAAAAATTAGGCACGCTTCTTCTTGCCGTCCATTTGTAGACTCAAAACAACTCCATACTATGAATCTTTGGCATGGAATCACTGAGGAAAAAGAAGCCAAGCATAGATTATGTTATGTTGTGCTACAACTGTAAATAAGTATACAGAGCTGAATTTGTTCAAATATACTAGAGACTGGGTATGGTTTCCCAGTGTTTGCATGCCAAGGAAGTGTGTTTATATGTAGCGAATCAAAATTATTTGCCATTTTTTCTTACAAAAATATGTACCCTGAAACCAAATAGAAGAAAGCAGAACGTAATTATGCAAACATAAACTACAGCAACTCAAACAATCTATAACATCATTTCAAATAGTACCTCTATAATCTGCCAAAATGTTTTTGGTTCAAAATTTACTTTCAGTTACGGAAAGAATCAAATTATATCTCTTAACAGATCAAATAATATTTATATAATAGAATCTACTATTGATTGTGTTCTTGTAATGAAGAATTTTGCCGTGCTACAAAATGCACTGATATCACTGAGAAGTCTTTGCAGCGGAGAGTAATTTTGTGGGGAGCTGCTCCCATGCCAAGTGAAAAAGGAAGTTCATCTGTTGAATGGCATTATGATCCAGTAGAGTATAATACAAGGAGAACAGACATGTTTTCTACAAACTAAATCTTCCAGAGCTAAAACAGAACCCCCCCAAAATCAGTACTACTGTGTTCTTTGCACAATAGCCAGTGCCATAAATTACCTGTAACTGTAAAATATTTAATCTATTCAATATAGTTTGGTCTAGTGGTTAAGGCTCCAGGCTAGAAATCAGGAGACTGTGAGTTCTAGTCCCGCCCTAGGCATGAAAGCCGGCTGGATGACTTTGGGCCAGTCGCGCGCTCTCAGCCCAAATCACCTCACAGGGTTGTTGTGGGGAAAATAGGAGGAAGGAGTATTAGGTATGTTTGATACCTTGAGTTATTTATAAAAATAATAAAGGTGTGATAAAAAAAATCTAAAAAAAAAATTACAGATGACTCACATTGTATTAAATATTTTCTGTATTAAAATGGAATTGATGTGTTAACCTCTCTTAATAGGAGTTTGACTTCACAACCAAATTGTTAGATCTATAAAGGATGCAAGGACACTAACATTTCTTTTTTCTTTTTAATTAAATCCTATTCAATGTAGACTTATAATATGGAAATAGAATGCGCAAGCCAAGCTTTCCTGTTCGCCTAAGCAGCCTTTATGTCATAAAGGACCATTTCTCAGCCTGTTGATCTCTGGTCCTCTTGTTTTGGTTACTTAGTTGCTTCAACATTGAGTGAATTTATACCTAACCAGAGTTCCCCAATTTGGTGCCCTTCCAGCAAGCATGTATAGCATAAGTCATGGGCACCAGATGGGTAAGACTGATCCATTTTCCATCATTCCACTGATGGAGAGAATAAGGAAATGGTTGTGCTAGATCAGAGTTAGTGAATGTCAGCGATATTGTGTGAATGAAGAATTTTTCTTTCTTGCCAGCGTATTGAAAGAAGATTGTTTAGGGCATATTTTAGAGGCATGCAGTTCTTTGGACGACTTATGCATACTCTGAACAGTGTCACCCACTTGTTCTCAAACCCTTACCGGGTAAAGGAGGTACCTCTAGCAGAGTATACATCTCGGAAGCAGGTTAAACAAGACGATAGGATAGTCCTGTATGAAAACAGTTCAGCTCGATCTTGGGACTGTCTACTCATTAACCCTCAGAATCAAACTTCTGCCTTCCGGTAAGTAACTGAGATTTTTTTTAAAAAATTATTTTACCTTTTATCTGTTTGTATGGGGGTTGAGAGCAGAGAAATATGGAAGTTCTCAAGCTCTCTGGAAGAAGATCTGAATGATGGCTTGGAAGGCATGTAAAAGAAGGGAGATATGATTGCTTTTTGTTCCTGGTTGCTGTAGGTGGGTGAACTGGCTTTCTCCATAGCTGACACAGAAATGAAAAGGACTGGGTTTGTTCCTAACTGCTTGATAAAAGGTGGTTTGTTTTTTGCAAGCCTACAAAGAAATTAATAGTATGTGCTTTAGTGCTACTAGTTTCTTAGTGAGATACTACATAATTTTACAGGCTAATAACTTTGGGATTATGTACAAAGCTGGCAGTGATGAGAGAACATAATATTTTTCCTGTGCCTTAGGAGGGTTACATTTTGTGAAAGAATAAAGAATGAAAGTATTTTAACGTCCTGTTGCCATGCAATTTTCTCTTTATATTTGTGAATGATCTGTTCTGCTTCCTTGTTTCACATTCTTTTTATTTATAATCAGCTTTTTGTAATTCAGTCTGTGTGGAACTGCCCTTGAAATAGATTGTGAGGTGCCTCAATTTCTCTCCTCTGAAATCTCAGGAGTTTGGGAGATTTTTTTCTCATTTTGTGGCAGATGCATTGACTGCCAGTTTATTTAAGCCATAGAAAGGCAGATTATAAAAGTTCTAAAACCATTTCCTTTGTAGGCTTTTTCAAGCTGACAGTGAAGCAAATGCAACTGAATATTTTGATCTGTACACGAAGCTGTTGCGTCCCTTTTATGAGAGCTATCACGATCCTTTGCCTCTGGAAACTTTGCAGCACCTGACAGACTGTTTTCGAAGTCACCCCAGTTGGTCACTAGCACACATAGCTGTAGAGACTGGACTTCTGGGAAGCTTCCGACACAATCTCATTCTGAGGTATGATGTGGGATAGAATTTTTGTGCCAAACTTATTTACATAGGCACAAAACCCCCAGACTTCATATATAGAGTAATCAAATCTGAGCTTACCAATAAAGGAAGAGATCTTAGGGTCATGGTGTATACCTTGGTGAAAATGTCAACCCAGCACACAACTACTGGGGGAAAAAAAGACAGATATCATGTTGGAATCATTGGGAAGGGAATTGAAAATACAACAGCCAATATATAAATCTGTAAAAAAAAAAAAGGAACTAAAATGTAAATAGTTAGAGCAGCTCCTCTACAAGGAAAAACTACAGTTTGATTTTTGTTTTTTCACTTAAGCAAAGATGGGTCAGCAGAGGTATGACAGAGTTGTATAAAACCATGCTTGGAGAGAGAAAAGTTTTTCTCCCTCTCTTTTAACCTTAAAACTCAGGCTCATCCATTATAACTAAATATATAGAGATTCAAACCTAATAAAAAGAAGTATAAATTGACTTAAAACATATAATTAAAATGTGGAATTTGCTACCATGAGTTGCACTGATGGCCACCAATTCAGATGGTCTTAAAAAGGGAGGGAACATATTGACACAAGAATGGGCTTTCAGTGATTACTAGGTTTGATGGCTGTTCGCTATCTTCATCACCATGGACAGCGCACCCTTCAATGCCAACTGCTAAGAAACAATGGTGGAAAAGGCTTCTGTCCTCCTGTCCATGCCTGTTAACTTCCTGAATGCATATGGTTGGGCAGCATGTGATAGAGAATGCTGGACCGGATGAACTAATGACTTGATTGAGTAGTTCCCTTCTTTGTCTTTGGTACAGACTGTTGTATGAACTAGTTGGCTGTGATTTATTCAAGAAACTATGTCCAAATCAACAGTAGTTTAGCATGACGTATGAACCCAGTTGTTATAAGCTCATTTAAGCCAAACTTTAAGCTCATATATTTTACTTTTTTTTTAGTGAAATGAAATAAGGTAGCCCAGAAAATGTAGCAAATTGCCTGTTTGAACAAATCCCCTAATATGTTACACTGATACATGGTAATAAATATATTAAAACAGTACATTATACTATTATCTGAATACAAATCTGAGTTACTGTAGAACAGGGTTTCAAACAATTGAAGTAAGATCTAAAAATTGCTCAGAAAAGTTACAAGTTCCCAATTGTTGATTGATTGCAGATTAATCAGAAATCTACCAGTAAATAAAAATGTGTCTTCTGCCTATGTGTGGTTCAGGATATTTCAACAACAAAGTTCTAGAGTCTGTTGTATTTTAGCTCTTAAATAAAAAGACTAGAATTTTTAAAGGATCTTTCTATCCTATTGAGTTGTAGTGGAAGCACAAATGCTTTACAAATGCACAGCAATTAATTTTGTAATATGCCCTGTATTATAATAAATAGAAGAGCAGCAGCATAAAAAAATCAAGTAATGCCACAGCTTTTGAAAGAAATCAGTTGGGTAGGCTCGCTGGTTTTGTACCTATGTGTCTGACTGCATACACAGCATTACTCTATCTTTGTTGTTTTAGCTGCATAAATAGCAACAGTTCTGACAATGAATGCACCCCGCTTCACTTAGCCTGCCAAAAAGGTGACCTTGAATGTCTGAAGGAGCTGCTGGAGGAGTGCCATGCCCATCTTGATCTTACAGACAAAAACGGAGAAACTGTCTTCCACTATGCTGTTCGAGGAAGCAACCCAAAGATTATAGAGGTGAAGGTTTAAAAGAGTTTCCTGCTTGCAGGAGAGAAGCATAAGGTAGAATGAAATGGTATACAATCTAAGAAAGAGGGAAATGGAGCTTTCCAAATGTGGAAGAGCTGAAACTGGGCTGTTCTACTCTTCTTCCCGATGTAACCTTGTTCGTAATTTGATAAAGTACAGCAGAACTGCAAAATATGAGATGCACGACCCTGTTCTTGTCTTGAATTGTTCTGTACAGGGAGAGTGAAATTGTTTTGGGGGAGTGACCATGAGGGAAGGAAATGCTTAACTCTTTTTCTTGCCCACAACCTCTTTAATACTTCTCAATCTATCTGAACCACAGGAGAAGAAGTTTGCATAGAGAAAATGTTTAATTTTTGCCTCACCTGTCCAATGTCCCCTCCTGTCCATCAGTTCTGTTTTCAAGTGCTCCCCAATCCCCAAATTCCCATGATGGGCTTAAGGGTCTGTTTGTAGAAATAATGTGCCATTCTGAACACTGAAGAAAAGTAAGTAGTAACTGTTTTAGATGATGAGAAGCGTTTGATGATTTGCAGTGGAGTTCTGTTTTTTCAGATATAACATGAATTTCATATAGGACCAACATTTAGGTCTGATATGGTCAACAAACAGTTCATTTAAAGCTAAAGTGCTTAAAAATAGATATCAGATATATTTGAACCAAAGATGTCCATCAATATTTGCAATTACAATAAATCCTTTACTAGTAGTAAGATAGAATAAATGAAAATTAAGTTTATTTTGCAAAATAAATATATTTGCAGGTGATGCACTAGTAATACTTTTATAATCATCATTACACTTTAGGAGACTTTTCTATCCTATTTTTAGATGGATAATGGAATACACAGTAAAAGAAAATATTTATTTAGCATTAAAGTGGAAACTTGGAAAATGAAGTATTTATATAAACCATGAAGGAGAAACCAGTTTAGCATTTAGAAACTACAAATGTTCTTAGAATAGCAATCATCTGTAAAATTTTGAATTATTATATGAAGAGATTTATAGAATATATAAAATAATGGGCAAAAATATAACATGAAAAGGATAATAATGCTTACATACCTAAGAAGAATATACTACCAGACTGTTTCCAGAACTGCAAACATACCAGTGTATCCTACTGTAAAGAATGCATATTAGTTGATTCATTCCCTTCTTAAAAATTGGTGACATCCTTATCGAGATAAATGCTTTCTCTTGCTTACATTTCAAAAGGTTTGAAATGACTATGAGTAATTCTAAAGCATTCCCTTGGATAAAGATAAAATGCTGACTGGGAAATTTGGGAGAACACATCTTGAAGGAGGAGGCTGCTTCAGAGTTGAAAATCACAAAAATTGTTTAATTGTTCAGCTCCTGGGCAAGAAACCAACTGCTGCTTTGGACCATCTGAATGATGAAGGGCAGAGCGCATTGCACCTGGCCTGCCAGCTGGGCAAAGAAGATGCAGTCTTCTCTCTTCTTAAGGTTCATGCCAAGTGCAATAACTTGGGAGCGCTGGGCTATCCTATCCACACTGCTATGAAGCATTCTCAGAAAAGGTAACTTTACTAGCTTTGTCAAGATCAGAATATAAGGAATTCTGTAAATAGAAACACTCTATATGCTATCCAGCTGTACTGCATATGCTCTCATTCCCCTTCACATTAGGGTCAGGTGAGGTATATCTTTATTCAAGTAACCTAAGTCATCTATGTGATATTGCTTCCAGATCATGCTTGCTTCCCCAGGCTTGTAATTCAGGCTTGCCTGATTTTTTTGAAGCTGGTCTTGATTTGATTCCCCAATGTAGACTGCATATTGAACTAATGGTGATTTAAAATACTACTTGTATTCATCATGTACTTGGCCGGACACTTTCAGATTCCATCAACTAAGACCTTAGAGAAGGAATGCTGTGCTAAAAACAAGGAACAGAATATCACTGCCTTCTCCAAACTACCATAGGTCCTGAAGAAAGAAAAATTATTCCCCATTCCCACTCAGTGCAAAAGGGAAATAAAATATATGGCTTTTATCCTTCTCCACCTCCAAATCCATGTTTTATTTCCTGCTGAGGGCATTTGTCTAAAACCTGAGTGATTCCTGTGAAAGCTTCAAAACCATCAAACCAGCTTTTCCACTGAAATATCTGGTAGGCCAACTGAAATCACAGAGCCAAGATTCAGAGTGAGACAAGAGTTACAAATAGGGAAATGGACTGTCTACAAGCTCAGCAGAGTACATCTTTGCCAAGAAAACAGCTTTTCTCTGGTTTCAAAGCCAGGAAAAATCCGAAGCCCTCCAATCCAGCCAAAGTCATGCAATTGCATACTTCCAGAATTGGTTTCAAACTGGAAAAAGTTGTTGCATGGAAGTGTCCTCAAAATATACATCTTTCACACAGACAAAACTGGCAGGAATTTGTCTGAATTAAAACTGGTGCTTTGTAGGATGCTAATCTTGTACCCATGTTTGTACTTCTGAATGTTGCTGCATGGTGGCAGAACACCCAAGAGTCCTGGGAGTGTCCCTTCACAGTTAAATAGGTGGAGAAATGCCACTGTTGCCTTAAAAGACTGCTGTATAACATGCCAGCTGAGGGGGAAGGGGCAGGGAGGAGTGAGATGTGCCAAAGAGCACCTATTGTGCACAGCCCCATCAGTTGGGTCACAGGAGTGGAGGGGGGGTGTTGTCTCCACAGGAAACATATTTAAATATGTCTATGGTCCCAAAGGTTTCAGCAAAACTCTTTAAGATGGTCAATGGGCTCCAGGAGATTGTGGCAGAAGACGTAGGCTGACAAAATCTGTGGGGCAAGCAGTGAAGATCCACGGTCAAGGTAACAGTGCAGCAGATGGTACAGGAAGGCAGGGAGGACAAGAAGAATCAGCACATGAGTGAGCATGAGTGATAACAATGCAGTGAAATCAGAGAATATAATTCAAAAGCATGGTATTACAGGGTTGCTTAACTATATTATGGAATTGGCTATACCGCATTCCCACCTATAGTCTTAGGGCTCATAATGTACCTTGTGTGCTTGCTGCTGGACCTTTGGAAATAATTCCATTCGTACTGAAAATGCAAATATTTATAAAGCTGCCCAGGACATCCTTGTTGCATTTTTTGTTTACTTCTGCTTCTTTTTTCTTCCAGGTGTGCAGAAATCCTCCTTGATAAAGAAATCAACCAGATTCAGTTTCTGGACCCACGATACGGTGGTACACCCCTTCACTGGGCCAGAAATGCAGAGGTGAGAAAGTAGAATATCATTGGAGATGACAGAACATTTATTTTTAATTTTGCTTTTATTAACTGGGAACCTTCTTTTCCTGGGAATTCCTGTGGGTAGAAGCTCTTTTCCCCATTCCATTGCTAACTTTCCATTATATACAATCTTGATGGGTTCTGGGTCATTAATATCTGTGTAGAACCAGGAGACTTGCAAACATTTCCCCCCTGCCATTGTGTGAAGCAGCATTTGTTGAATTTCAGCCTTAAGAATCCTCCTTCCAAAGCAGCCTCAATGACTGGACTTGCAGAAGAAAACTTGCAACCAAGATGTGCATAGAGTTATGCTTAGAAGTACAAGAGAATTCTTGAGATCCTTTAACAGTGAAAACAAATACAAGTGTTCAGTGATCCTGAGTGTGCTTTTTTACTTAAAAATATCAGTGCTCTGCTGAAAAAAATCAATGTCCATCTAAGTATGCAAGAATAGCATATTGAGCAGAAGTATCGGCAATTATATATATTACTATATATATAGTAGGAGTAACATCCCTCCTTCTGTATGGAACTCCTGTTCCTCCTTCTTCCTAACACCTATAGAGAGAGACATACCTAGTATTAACCATCCAAAAACCACAAATCAAATATACAATAATGCTTGCTTCAAACAAAAATGCTACTTGATAGAGAAAAAAAAGTACCCAAGAACGATAGCTTAAGAGAAGATTGTAGAACAGTCAGCTAAGAAATTTTTAAAAATTTGGCTATATTTTTCCCACTGAAGAAAATGAAAAATAATCTTTTTTAAAAAAAATAAAAGTGCCATTTTATGCAAGCGTTCCATCTTTTTATAAAAACTAAGAGGAATGATTGATTGATTTACCCTTGTAAGTCTTTTGATACTGATATGATACCTCAGTTTTCTTCTTGGGGTGAATTCTTGGAAATTTCAAACACAATGTATCTTAAAATTAAGCAAAATTGATATCTAAGCCAAGCCCATGAATTACTGAAAAAAAATCTCTTATGTTATAGACATCTCCTTGATTTCATGTCTCAGATAAGAAAGACTCAGTGCCTGGGTACACAGTTGCTAGAAACCATAAAGGGATTTGTTCATACCTGGGATGAACAAGATTGGACTGTTACAGGGCTGTTACAATTAATTTCCCTCTTCCTTCCCTCTATATCCTAGAAGGAATAGGAATATCCTATTCCTTCTAGGATATAGAGCTGGGAATTTCTACCAGCTCTATATCCTAGAAGGTTCATCACATTAAGGAACTCTATATTGGCAGACAATATAGAGCTTTTACTTCTATGAGGTTTTGGGGCATGCAAAAAGTTGTTATACAACTTGAATAGATGGAAGATAAAAGTGCATCTTCTAGAAAATCTGAGTGATTTAAAATCCATTGTGCAGACCCATGACTCCTGATTATTTAATTTAAGCAGTGATAAAATGAATTCCTTATCCACCCAGTTATATTGCTCAAACACAGGTGAAAGATCTGAAAAACGGGGAGTGGATTTTTGTTTTGAAGGATGGTGAGCTTTGTTCAATTCTGATAACCAAAACAAATTCCAAGGCATAGGATTTATTAAATGTATGTCTTTTGCATCAGAATTCAGTAGGCTAATCTCAGAATTCTGGTTAAAAAAGTAAAAGTAAAATTCATAGGTGTAAAACTGGTTAATTTGGTTGTCCAAGGGATAAGTACAGTGTCTTTGGTTCTTGTTGTCAGAAAGTGGCAGAAATAAGAAAGGTTGGGCTTCTGTGAAAAATTTTCAGAAAAGTGTTGCTATTGTCAACTCTGTTCTTCATTTTTACACACTAAACCCTATAAAACTAAGTATGAAGTGAAAAGTCAATGGAACATGCAAGAATAACTATTTTGTAGGTTGACTGAAATGCATTTCTGGATGCCTTTCTTCTTGTTATGTAAATAAGCCTAGATAGTAGTTTGGAGAGAAATTTTAATCTTACCAGTCGAAGTGCTATAAACTGACCACACTTTTGGAGATGATGGTGATGATGATGATTTATTAAATTTGTATACTGTCTGATTCCAATGACTCTGAGCAGTTTGCAGCTATGTGCTGGCATTTTTTTTCCTAAATGGATTATTCCACTAATGAGAATACAGGTCAGCTGGGGGTGGCAGGGCCAGCGAGTTACAATGGCAGTTGGGACTGCAATTTCTATCACTAAGAGATGCGGTCGTAAAGCACAATGACGCATGACTATA